TGATTTCCATCCTCGACGGCTCTAGTTCCGCGATCTTTTAGGCTGCTGGAGGAGCTTGAAAAGGGAGAAAAGGGTATTGGAGATGGCACCTGCTCTTATGGTCTCGATGACAGCTCCGATATTGGTAAGCTTACAAGCCACATCGCTTTGCCCTCCATGTACTCACGTCGCAATCTCATGTTGCCAGAAATGTCCAACTGGGGCGCAACGATCATCGGACCAGGACACACCATCTTTCAGAATCGCATCTACTCTTTGAAGGTGTACTGCGGAGCCTCTTACCCGGACAAGCCTCCCGAGGTTGCTTTCCTCACAAAGATCAACCTGCCGTGTGTCGGATCAGATGGAAAGGTGAGCATGCATGCCATCATCTTGGCACTTGGCAGTGCGTTGGGCATCGAAGGGCCAATCTGGTGACCGTCGCAGCAATTGTAATGTTCCTGACTGACAGCGATGCGATCTCTTTGCAGGTCAATGCAGCAGCGCTGCCAGTTCTCGCGGGGTGGAGGCGAGAGAATACATTGGAGACGGTATTGGTGGAGCTGAGAAGGTGAGTGCGATGAGCAGATCGATGAAGCTGTGAAGGAGGCAAGCGAGGTAGGAGCTGCTGCTTCTCAGTCACGAACTGGGGCAGCACGTGCCCCGCGTGTTGTGTGTGTGTGCATACATCCACGAAGGCGATTACCCTGACGCGATCCTCGACCTTTGCCACGCAGGGACATGGCGGCAAGCCAGAATCGCAAGCTGCCTCAACCTGCCGAAGGATCCACGTACGCATGAATGAGCAATTTAGAGTCTTGTGACATCCATCCACAATTGCAACCTCGGCCTCGCGCAACCCGGGCCGAAAAGACACAGAAGAGGCGGGAAGAAATCCGTGCCGCTGGCGACGCTTCATCGCGTGAAGCTCCTTTGTATGAGTGAGCGTCGGCCAATTCGCTTCTTCAACGATAGGAGACAAGAACACGTCTCAGAACACGTCTCGAGGTGTAGTGTGACTTCATTGGTCAAGACCTCTTTGCAAACCAGCTAGGAGTAGCTGAACCAGCTGGTCTTCATTGAGTGTGAATTGCGGCCCACACTTGGGCATGATATCTGCAAGTCATCGCAGACGCTCTAATCGCGCCTGTTTATAGGTTTCAGCTCCATGTGCTCCAACCCCTTCTCGTCCTCGTTCGAAGCGACGACATGAGATGGCGCTTCAAACAGCGTCTGGCTCGTGTCGTCCGTGTCGTCCTCGTCGACTACGAAACTCGGTTGTCGAGACGCCCTGCTGCTGCTGGTAGCGCCAACTTGCGAAGTGTCCCTGCGTGATGATTCGCCATGCTGCTGCTGCTGTTGCTGTTGATCTGCCAGATCGTCTACATCCCACACGGGCGTGTTGAAGCCGTCTCGCATCTCTCTTTTGACTGCGAAAGCTTCGGAGGAGACGACGCAGCCAGCTGCGTGTAAAGCTGCGAGCGCATAGTACCACCACGATGGCACCGACCTGACCCAGAGCGTAGTTATGATGAGGTGCAAGAGGTGAAAGGTCAAGACGTGATCCAACATCGCAGTAGGCTTGCGAATCAAGAAGAGCAAGAGATGCATGCTATGCAAGAGTGCGGCGATCAGTCACTCTCGTCGCAACCAACGACGGGACGGGCCAAATGCACCGAAGCATGCTTATGCTTATGCTTCCGCTGCCTTTCACTTACTCCAAGACTCCAGCCACGATCCACGCTAACCATGTTGCCCACTTGCGGCTAGGATCCGCAGCCCTCAGCTCCCACTCGTCTCCTAAATCTTGCGCCTTGATGGGACGAATGGCAGGGCTAGCTGATCGACCAGGAGCCGGTCTGGTGATCTGCTCCAGCGGAACGTGCTGCAAGCCACCGGCACCAGGCACTCCGTCCAGCGATACTGGTGTGAGCCAAGCATCTGCCCAATCAGGTGATGCTCCGAACGACTTGGCGCCCAGCAGCTCTCTCCAGTCGAGCACGGCGGATACGCTAAACGCTCCGCCTTGAAAAGTGAGCGCATCCCGAGAGGCGAAGAGCGAGAGGCTCAAAGGGATCAGCAAGGCTAGAATGAAGTAGTGCATCGTTTGAAAGGCGATGATCTGCGGAGACGAGGGCGAAGGCAGGCAAGCATCACTTGTCAGTTGGTGATTCGCGATTGAAGACATCTTTGACCTGTGCTCTGTCACGTTACACTAACCTGAGCTACGACTTTGGCAGCGTCGAAGCCCTGTACCGGTTGTTTGAGCACCGCCAAGCTCT